ATCCGTACCTTTACATATGCTGGTGTCCCAGCTGTGAGTGTGTGAGGTGCTGGTGTGACTGTGCACATCCACAATGTATGTGTCTTCAGGGCCAGTCCACCACGGTTTCTGAAGTACCTGTGAAACCCTCAGGGTCAATGATAATCCACTCGATGGGGTAGGAACGGCCATCTTCCTCCACCTGCATCAGGCTAAGGCTGATCTCCTTGGCTGTATACTTGAGCGAACTGGAGAGAGCAGCAGACAAAGGGTGGGCATGAGCCTCTGGATGGGGCTTCTGGGGCAGGAGGTGGTGATGGAGGGGGAAGGGCTAGTTAGGGAACCATGGCCCGAGGGGATTCTGGTCATCACGGGACCAAGGCCTCTGCCTGAGATCGTTTCATTCACCACCTCCTGGCCCTGGCAGGGTGCTTTGGACTGAGAGACATTCAGGTGGACGCACCTGAATTTGAGGGAGCAGTTCTGCCAGTCGAAAGGGAAGTAGGTGACCGAGATAGGGCAGGAGGAACGGTAGATGGTGGGTGGCAGCCAGGTCACAGTGCCCGAATTATAAACAAGTACATTGCAGGCGAAAGAAACCTTGAAGGAGCCATCATTGCTGTGGGATGGGGACCATGATCACTGTGTGTCCTGGGCAGCCAGGAACTGGCAGGACTAGAGGAGGCAGGAGAGGAAGGGCAGGCAGGCGGGTTTGGAGGTGTAGGCTAAGGGGCATGAGGAAGGGAAGCAGGACGAGGGAGGGCAGTCTGGGAGGGCTCCTCTCAACTTGTTCTCCAGCACAATCTCCGGTAGCCACACCATGTCGGAGGGCAAGCGCAGGACAGTGATGTTCCCAAAGTCATTAGCATCCCATTGTAGCCGGCTGTCTACCCAGGCCTAGAAGTCCAAAAGGCTCATCAGAGTTGTGCTCTGCCATTGTCCACCCTTCCCAGTGGTCCTCGCTTCTCTAGGGAAGATGGAACAAAGCCTGGGAGTTGGGACAAAAGAAATTTGGGGGAGATAGGGTAAAGAGTGAGACTCAGATCTGTCATGGACAGTTGTATAGGGTTTGTATCACACTGCTAAGGAGCAGTTTCCATCCTGGGCAAGCTTGTTTTGATGTTATGTACCTCTACCACTTCTAATGCAAACAGGGGCCGATGTGGTGGCACACGCCTTTAATCCCAGTGATGGAGAGGCAGATGCAAACAAATCTCTGTGAGTTTGAAGCTAGCCTGGTCTACACCGTAAGTTCTAGGGAAATAGGGCCAGAGAACCCTGTCTCAAAACAACAACAAAGCAAATCAGGACAGAGTGGCAGTTTTAGCACAGAGGAAACCCTAGTCTTCTTGGCCATGTCCTTGGAGCTAGCGAGGCCCCAGTGGAAAAGGGCAGCTGGGCTCTGTGTCATCAAACTCTCCCAAAGGCGTGCTGGCAGGGGCTCATGGATCCCTAGCAGAAGTGAGCACAAGGGACAGGAACCTTCAGCAGGTGTCCTTACGTGATCTATCCACACGTTGGTGGTGAGGGTCTCCTCGACTTCTTTCTGTAATCAGACAAGAGGGCTGTCCCCAAAGGTTCCCATCGAGCTTTCACCCAAACCCACTCACTAATGTGCCCGGGATCAGGGGACCATGGCGGCTGGAAGGGACAGTGCCTGCTACAGCAGTGAATAGAGGTCCACGGCAGACTACAGAAGCAGAGGGCACAGGGCGCTGAAGTGAGTTCTGGGGGAGCATAGTGACCTGCAGTGACAGTGGAAGGCAGAGCTGATGGCTTTGGATAGCCATAGGCCTGCGGCGCCATCCAGCATGTTCATGGAAGAGAAGCTGGTCAGCCTAGAGCAACTGTCCCTTCTCTTCTTCCTCTCCCCAGCCCAGCCCAGCCCGGGATGGTCCACTCACCAGGGAGATGAGGTTGGAGAGGGTGAGACTTAGTGCGACATCCACTCTGTCCTCCTTGCGAGCCACCGGCCGAAGTTCCTTCTTGTAGTCCTTTTCCTTGAACAGGTGCTGGATCAGCCGTTGCTCCTCATTCAGGCCCCAGCTGCCTGGGGGAGCTGGGGAGAGAAACAGGGTGCTGGTCACTGGACCCAGGAAGGGCAGAACAAAGGGAAGCCAACTGCTCCCTGGCAGTGGGATACCTGAAGTCAGGCTCGGGTGGGAGTGGGAATTAGGCATAATCTTAGGGAGGGGACCATGCAGTGATACTGGGGGGGGGCAGGGGGGCATAGAGAACCCCCAGGAAGGGAATCATGGCCACCCTTACCACACACAACAAGGACAGCCAGCAGCCCCAGTGTGGGCACAAGCCCTGCCATCCCCCACCTCTGACTAGGGCTTATGTCTTTCCCTCAGTCTGCTGGCTGTGGAATGGAACAGGTGCTGGGTTGGCTCCAGGGTTTGGAAAGAAGAAGCCGGAAACGCAATCTGATACTTCAAGGCTGGTGATGAGGGGGGTGGGCTTGCCAGCTAGGGCAGGAGCCCAAGGGCAGGATGCAAAGATCCCAGACAGGGATTGTCACAGATAGCTGAGAGGGTGGGGGCTGGTAGGGTGGTGGAGGAGACATATGGTGTGTGTGTGTGTGTGTGTGTGTGTGTGTGTGTGTGTGTGTGTGTGTGTGTGT